CATGAATGAGTGAATGATTATTTAAAGCAGGTTTTATGAACTATAAAAATGTATTTAGTAGAGCATTTCAAAGTAAATAGTTAAAATAAATTACATCAATGATGAGGTAATATTTTCTCTTGTTAAGAAATGACAGTTAATGATTAAGACAAATTTCTGGGGGAAAATATATTTAATATAGGCTTAGGTTCTTGGAAGGTTTGTTATTATAGCATCACATGTAATCTGCTGGTCCATAAATGCATGGTGGGTTTTTAAAGGCTAGTAAATCTGTCTGACATATGTTCCCAACAAGATATTATACATCTCTATTATTACCCTCATAAGATAGGCCTACTTCATATGGAAGAAATTATAACAATAAACAGATGTTAATTTTTGTCATGATTTATTTGTTAGTCTAAAAGCTCAGTTCAGTGCCTAAAAACTATATAATCGTTGGGCTTTGGAAATGCAGTTGAACTGGGATCAGTCTTAAAACATGATTCAGTCCTTTAGAATGTTCACCTAATACTGAACAAATGTCTTGGCTTTTGCTTTCTGAGTACTGGGTCTGAATAATGAGACTGAATTAGACCATAAACTCATGTACTGCCAGGCTTATATTTTATATTAAGGTATGGGTGGTGCTAGTGGTAGAGAACCCACCTCTCAGTGCAGGAGACATAAGAAACCTGGGTTCAATCCCTGTGCCAGGGAGATCCCCTGGAGGAGGACGTGGCAACCCATTCCAGTATTCTTGCCTGGAGAATCCCATGGACAGAGGAGCCTGGCAGGCAATGGACTATAGGGTCAAAAAGAGTTGGACACGACTGAAGCGACTTAGCACACGTGCAAGGACAAGTTACAAAGTTTGGGAAATAATCTGTTGACAAGGGAAAAGGAAAGCATCACAGACTTAAATTAGAGGATTTTGCTTTTTCTTTTTTTTTTGAGAGGCAGAAGAAGACCAAACCAAATTTGCCTAATAATTAAAGTTACTTATGACTTTTAAAATATTAATCTGCTTTGATCCACATTCACATGTTGGCATTTTCATTCATACTACTGATATTTCTAGATATAAATTTTGAATGATTTCTCCCTCCATATCAAGAATAATGGGCTTTCTCCTCTCAGAGCATCTTCAGATGCTCACCTGTGGAATCTCAACCTTTTCGTGAATGAAGATGATGAATATGTATGAGAGCCAGGTAACAAGGGAGTGTTTGTTTTGAATTTTTGGTTCTCAGTAATTATTAGTGTCTTTAAATGTGAATGTGCCTTGAGAAAAAATGTTCAAAGGAAGTACTGTGGGAAGGTCCTGTAGGCTTTCTGACTTCAAAGTGCTTATTAGGATAGAAGCAGATGCCTGATAGAAATGTAGATTTTTGGTTCAATGAGACAAATAGAATTAAAGTATTTAAATTACCGTAATCAACTTTTCCATTTAAAAAAATTTTCCTTTTCTGTCATTTACCCTTATTTGATTATTTGTATTTTTAGTTCCCTTATCCTTGCCTCTGAAATGGTATTATCTCATTTTTGATAGAATTTTACCTTAAGCTTTTAGGTTTGAAATAGTAGCATGGTTTGGTGAATAAGCATTCTTTAGATTGGTGAGAGGCAGTACTGCACACATCAGAGCCTTTGCTATAGCGTCTAGCTTTTATTCCAAAAGGATCTGTTGATAGAACATTTTCTTACTTTTCCCTTGATTTTTTGTTTGAAAACTCTTTCTTATTCAGCCAGGCATTACATTTTAAAAAATGATCTTTGTGTCCAAAAGTGCTTTAAGCTGTTGATATGGTACTTAAAAGGTATAAGTCTTGTGGTATAGATAGAACAGACAGATAAAAAGAATATAACATTACAGTCTGAAGTGTTAAGCACTGAGATAAGATTATTTGATGGAACATTTTTTGTAACTTTTTAAATTATTTTATCTCAGGGTGCTAATAAGGGCTTCCCATGTGGTGCAGTGGTAAAGAATCTGCCTGCCAATGTGGGAGATACAAGAGACATGGGTTCGATTCCTGGGTCTGGAAGATCCCCTGTATTCTTGCCGGGATGATCCCATGGGCAGAGGAGCCTGGGGTACTACAGTCCGTGGGTTACAAAGAGGCGGGCTGAGCACACCCACAGCATGCTAATATTTGGTTGGCCAAAAAGTTTATTTGCGTTTTTCTGTAACACCTTACAGAAAACTCCGAATGAACATTTTGGCCAACTCAATACATATGAGTATGTGTGTATCTAAGTCTGGGTCTGTGTGTGCATACAGACACAGAATACATATATACACAGACATACATACATATATACACACATATGTATATATAAAACAAGAATAAAATCTGTTGGTACTTTCTGAAGATTAATAGACAATGTAATTGTTGTTCAGTTGCCGAGCTCTCCTGTCCTTCACTGTGTCCTGGAGTTTGCTCAAATTCATGTCCATTGAGTTGGTGATACTATCTAACCGTCTCATTCTCTGTCGCCCTTTTCTCCTCTTGCCTTCAATCTTTCCCAGTATCAGGGTCTTTTCCAATGGGTCAGCTCTTTGCATCAGGTGGCCAAAGTATTGGAGCTTCAGCATTAGTGTTTCCAATGAATATTCAGGATTGATTTCCTTTAGGATTGATGGGTTTGATCTCCTCACTGTCCCTGGAACCTTCAAGAGTCTTCTCCAACACCACAATTTGAAAGCACCAGTTTTTTGGTCCTCAGCCTTCTTTTTGGTCCACAAATAGCCTTGACTTACTCAAGATTATGTTTCTGAGTACCAAGTGAGGACCTATTTTATATTTTGAGACATATTTGGAGATATTTGTCAACATAGCACAGTAGTTTTTGTAATATTTCTATTTGGAGATGCAGAGGTACAGAAAACTTGACTGCCATTTTTGTGCTAACCAACTGAAGCAAATACGAAATCCAGACATGTGATAACAAAAAGTAATGGAGATAGGAAAGATCGTAACCCAGTAGTAATCCAGAGAGCTTATTTTAGTATAGCATTTAACTCCTCCTTTGTACTGCCTAAACTGCTGCACTTTTATCATCCTGACCTTTGCATCTTTGCCTGGCAAGTGCCCTCACAGTCTTTCTGCTGAGGTAACTTGTCTGGTGTCATATCAGTACTTGTTGCCATCCCTTGTATATTTTCTGTAACTTGCCATAGAACTCAGAAGGGTGGTTCTTGTTTAGAAGCCAAATTTTTGTGTTTATTTTTGCTGAAAACAGATTTTTACTTAAAAGATAGTTTAAAGTGTATATGTAATCATTTCATCATTCTGACACAAATATTTTCATTTTTCTTGTTCCCTTATGCTGTTTTATTTTGCATGGTTGGAGTTATGTCTGTTTTAATATTTAATGTAAAGACATTCCCATTGTCATAATGTCTTCATTATTATAATTTCATTTGCTACATAACAGCTCATTTGCTACTTATTTTCTTGTAAGACTTTTTTTTTTTTTTTTTTAGAGTTTTCTGTGTTTCTTTTCTAGCTAGTGCATATTAGCATGCTTCCAATGAGTTTGAGAGAACTCCAGGAGATACTGGAGGACAGGGAAGCCTGGCATGTTGTGGTCCATGGGGTCGCAAAGACTTGGGACACAACTAGTGACTGAACAACAAATAATTATTTGAAATTTTAATGCAAGTATTAAAGTTATTAGTTATCTTCACACATGATTTTTTTCTCTTATATAATCCCCTATGAATATGTGTATGGTATATATTTGTCTATATATGGCATATATATGTATATAGCATATAGCTATATATGTGTACATGTACAGATATGGCATATACATGTGTGTGTATGGCATATATGTATATATAACATATAGTTAGTATGTATATATGTATACATATAACAAATTTTGAAAGACAGTGAGAATTACTTCATTATTCAGAATCAACAGTAGGAAAGCCCAGAGTTAATATTAGGTAGCTGCTAATTCAAACTTTATGGTTTGCTTTTCTCTATAACATGCCATATTGTTAGTGTGATGTAACCTTAGGTTATTCTTTTTACATTTCATATTTGTACATGAAAGTTAAAAAATACTATATAAGATGAAGAAATAAGATATATTTGATAGTTCAAAGATTTATATTGAAAATCATTCTTTCTTAAATAATAAGCTTATATGAACTTCAAGAATGATGGAATCTACTTTAGTGTGGTAATATTTCAAATAGTTAAACATGTATCCTTAGAGTCTTTTCTCTGTAATAGTTACCTGGATAGCTTGTATAAAGCACAGAATATGCTGAAGTTTGTTGTGGGGGTGTTTAAGCATATTATATGTCTGACTTTTGGCTTGTCACAACTGGAAATAGATTGAATACTGCTTAATCATTTTATTTATAGCTTAAAAAATATGAGTCTCTAAGTATATGTATGCATGTATATATATATAGCTATACTTGTGTCTGTTTCTGGATCTTAGTTCTTACTAAGTTTATAGATTTTGAAATTCCATCATTATGCTGTTACTGTTGTTGCCTGAATACTTAAGGATTCTATTTCTAGTATTCAGAACAGAAGCTCTTCATTATGATGATGCTTTAGTGTTTTTAGGGCATTCTAAAATTTTTTTCTTCAGATGAGATAAATTGTGTATTATTCCTTTTGTTTAGCCGAAGTGTTTTATTTTCCATTTTCCACATGCTTCCTCCATTGGGTACACAGTAAAAGCTGTGTTTATACCTCTGAGTTTTCCCTCACTTGCCCTGGGCTCTTGCCTTCTAGTCGCCTTTGCAGATATGCAAATTTCAGGGCTTCAGCACTGTCTGGAGCCTAGGCGCTGGGGAGTTTGTGTGGGTTCAGGTAAAGTCCTTCATTTCTAGTGGCTCCTGAACAGAAGAAAAAAGAAGAGAGTAGTGTGAAGAATAAAATGCCAGATCTTTAAAAATACCTGGTTTGAAATTTGAGTCCTTTAAAGAAATCGTTGTGGTCATATTGTAGTATTTATTTATTTTTCTGCTTTGATGGTTGTTTCTTCAGGAAATGCCCACAGTCCTCCTCCTTCACCAGCTGGCTCAGCAGGAAGGCGCGTGGACCATACTTCCATTGTTACCGCAGTACGTTGCCCATGAAATGTGCTCATCATTGGCATCTCTACCCGACACCCATAGGCTCCCTTGTTTTCTCACTAAGTGTGTTTTTCCCGAGAGTCAGCAAGCAAAGTCACTGGGTTCTATGACTGCTCCCTTAATCAGATTTCCTAATAATTGATTAATCATGAATAGCTTTTATTTTTAAATGTTTCTTTCTTAAAGGATATAATGTCAGTATATTTGATATTTTTGAGACTGATTTTGAGATCTATTGAGCTGGACTTTGTCATGGAAAGAGTTAACTTGAACTCTGGTTATTCCATAAACCAGTAGTATCTGGCGTTTCTATTAATATAAGCTGAAACTATACATGGAAGAAAAACATAGGGGAAAAAAATTCAGATTTCTTGCTATTTTGTATGTCCTTTATTTGCTTCCTGCTTTCTCTTCCTTATAAGTTTTAAACCTTGTTATAAACTCACTTGATAAAAATGATTACTAGAATCTTTCTTTTTCTCAGCTTTTCTGTAATGTATAGCAGAAATTCATCATGGATTTTCTTCTGTGAAGAAGAGACAAGAATACAAATTATACAACTCTTAGAAACACTCAGAAGATATGACCCATCAAAGGTAAATACAACTTCAATTATTTTTATTTTGCATGGAGAAAGTGCTTAAAGGAAGTTTAATTTTGATTAAGAGGTTTTTCAGTCTAATAAAAACACTTAATTTAAAATTAAGAACAAAATAGGCCGGTCACACCCTATGATATGGAGCATATTCTATGGAATGTGTACCTCTCTCAATAAACTTGCTTTAACTTTAAAGAAAAAAGAATGAAATAGCAGTTAAATATCTGGAAGCAGTGTTAAATAATTCTCTTTGAGGTTCGGAGCTATCAGACAGATGGAACTTACAATGAGCAATTTTTAAATGAAAAAAAAAAACAACACTATATGTTTTACCAGTTTTAGAGAATTAAGAAAACTATAAACCAGAGTTAATAAATACATTTAAATTGGTTATTTCTCTTTATCAACAATGACCACATATTGTTTTAGGTAAGAAATAACTTTCTGAGTGCCAGCTGTGTATTGGGCACCTATGATAGCAGGAGCTTGGACAGACAGACAAGGGTCTTGACTGGATGGATGGTGCAGAGCAGGGAGTGATGGACTATTGAAGAAGCAGTTACAGTTAAAAGTGAGACATCTTTTAAGGGAAACACTGGGCGTTGTTAGAAGCAACATAGCAGGGCATCAGATCTTATCTGGGAAGGTCATTACATAATGTGACATTTAACCTGAGTCCCATGGAGTGAGTAGGAGTTAACAGGAGAGAGAGCTGTAGGCAGAGGGAACAGTATCTGAGAAGGTCTGGAGGTGAGACAGATACTCCTTGTGAGAAAACTTCACCCTGCCTTCATATTTTAACATTTTATCTCATGCAGATAAGATGTTGCAAATGGATCATGTTTACCTCTAAGTTCTGAGTGCTGAGCACAGTGTTTAACACTTACTAGGTGGTCAGTAAATGTGTGTGTGTGTGTGTGTGTGTGTGTGTGTGTGTGTGTGTGTGTGTGTGCGCGCGCGCATGCTCAGTCGTGTCTGACTCTTTGCAACCTCATGGACTGTAGCCTGACAGGCTCCTCTGTCCGTGGGATTTCCCAGGCAAGAATACTGGGGTGGGTTGCCACGCTCTCCTCCAGGGGATCTTCCTGACCCAGGGATAAAGCCTGCATCTCCTGTGTCTCCTGCCTGGGCAGGCGGATTCTTTACCGCCGAGCCACCTGGGAAGCCCTAAGTATTTCTGTAGGACTGAGTAGCTCTGAAACATCAGCTGTCCTGCTGGGCCACGTGCAGTGTCTCTGGAGGTTCACAGGCAGCTCTGGAGCTTTGTGGAGAGTAAATTAGGCTGCTCAGTTCTCTTGGAGAAGCCCAGGTTACGCTCTCATCAACTTATGGGATTCTCTCAATGTGGATTAAGCAGAATCGGGCCCTTTCTGGTTCTGCTGTACACCCACCCCACCGCTGTTCTGATGCCCACTCCAGAAGTGAATCAGATTCAATGAGGGTACGGAAAAGGGGCCATGGCTTCCGGGTGCCCGCGGGGTTTGCTGATGTGGACACACACAGAATTGGGCAACGGTGACCATTAGGTTGGTTTCTCAAACCCTGGAAAGTTTGTCACTACAATAAAACCACTGGTCTTGATGCTTTTTAAATGCCGTGAGGACCCATTATAATTTCTCTTCATGCTTTTGAGTTCTGGGAAAACACAGATATAATTCAATGAGAAGGTTGTTAGGTTAAAAAAATAATTCCTTCAAAGGAGAGAAGATTTATGAACGTGTCTCATCCCGTCTTTTCAGATGGTGCTGAGCAGGGTCTATGTGCCTTGTGCCATGTTTTATGTAAAACATTTGTTAGGCTTTTATGTTTTCCTTTGACTTGAGAAAAACCTCCCAGCTCTTTTTTGGAATGTAGGAGTTTTAATCATCTCCTAGTGTTAGCTTCACCTGGAGATTATTTTTTCCATTATCCATAGCTCTAATTCTGTACAGAAGATGGTGACTCACTGTACTTTTTAATGAAAATTGGAATGATAAATTTTAAAGTTCAGAGCAAGTTCATGAAAAGCAGGTACAGAACTGAGGTAAAATAAGACATTTTCTCTTTTTTGAGCTCTACCACATGAAAAAAAGTCGAGGATGTTTTATTTCATTAAAAACTAGCACTAAGGAATAAAAATTACATGATGTTGAAGTTAGCTCAAACCAGTGTTTCTTTCCCCCAACCATATGAAATTTTAGGAAAAAAGTATAAAGCAAACCTGGTTTTGATACTGACACAGATAAACTCCATTAAAATAATATGTGTTACAGTGTCATTATTTTCTTGGATTCTGATTGTTTCCCTTCAATATCTTGTCATTCTCACTAATCAAATTTATGCTGTTATACAGTATTTTAAATGAAAAACTTTAATCTTTATTAAAGTAATTAACCTGTTAATTGCCTTTCTGGGTGATTTCTATAAATTTCTATATCTTATTGAAGTCTTTCTGTTTTTTTTTTCCTACAATATGCTTTTATTATGTGTGCATTTGCTGAAATGTCTTTAAGTTTTAATTCTTAATAGAGGTAAAACATGAGTGCTGGCAAAGAGTAATTCTAAGATACAATAGAACACTGAGTTATTCTTTTCCAGTTTGTCTTAATAGTCTTTATTAAGACGCCATTAAGAAAATCATTGGGTTTCCCTGGAGGCTCAGCTGGTAAAGAATCCGCCTGCAGTGCGGGAGACCTGGATTCGATCCCTGGGTTGGGAAGATCCCCTGGAGAAGGGAATGGCTACGCATTCCAGTATTCTGGCCTGGAGGATTCCATGGACTGTATAGTCCATGGGGTCGCAAAGAGTTGGACACGACAGGGAGTGCTTCTTCACAGAATAGATATTAGTTTCTCTCCTAGAGTAGTTTACAGTATGCGTGTATGCTCCGTTGCTCAGTTGTGTCCAAATCTGCGACCCCAAGGACTGCAGCCCGCCTGGCTCCCCTGTCTGTGCGGATTCTCCAGGCAAGACAAGAATAGTGGAGTGGGCTGCCATGCCCTTCTCCAGGGGATCTTCCCCACCCGGATTGAACCCAAGTCTCCCGCACTGCAGGAGGATTCTTTAGTGTCTCTGCCACCAGGGGAGCCCACTTTACAGTATACCCCCCACAAAAATATTGAAAAAGTCTTATGTACTAGATAGCCAAACACTGCTATTATTCATTAAAATATAAAAACGTGTTCTGCATAGATTTATGTTTGAAACAGGAGATTATAACAGTGAGAGATTATTGAGAAAGGTGCTAAAATATACTGAAAATTGAAATGATAAACTTATCATTTAATTATGATGAAGTGTTTCTTTTCTTTAAACAAGCTATATGTACACCATATGTTAAATGTGATGATTTTCATGTTGGTTAATGTTTAGTCATTTGAATTTTTAAGAAGATGTTGAACTTTCTATCTTAAGCCAAGGTTATTTGCTTTATAATTACTTCCCTTGCCCAGTGGTGACTTCATATATCCATAAAGCGTTGGGAAGAAATCCTCGGGTGGAACTAGGAACCTAGACACTCTGTTACGTGTCTACTTTCACGTTGGCTCATTTATGACTTGTTGCTGAACTGACCCAGACTGAGACGGGGAGGTGTTTGAAATACAGCCATGAGCAGAAGAGGGCTCTTAGGAGACAGCACTGTCTCTCTCCTGCTTTTATTTTCTGATAAGGAATAGGGAGTGAGGTCATGATGGCTGGATAACAGAAAATACTACCAAGCTTTAGAACTTCGGGTACTTGATTTAAACAATTCTGCTGACGTCTCTTTAATGATTGCCTTTGAAATCTCTCCCAGGATTGGTGCATCATTTAATACAAAACTCGGAGCACCTGGGACAGGTGAGGTAGCCTGCAGATACAATGGCGAGCGAAATGGACACCACCCTGGGTCACAAGGAGGGAGTGTTCATAATTACGCAGGGGAGATGGGCAATAGGCAGACCTGAAATACTGCATCAGATGGTAGTAAGTGCTGTGGAGAAAAAGAACACAAAATGAGAGGGATGCCGGATAGACTGGGGGTGGACTTCCTTCTCTGTTTAGGGTATTTAGGAAGAACTTCACAGCTCACATCAGCTTGAGCCACATGTGAAGGAGCCAAGGGAGTGAGTTTCTTGCTCTCTGATCCTGTGCCCGCGGCCCATGTACCCAACAGGAGCTGCAGACTCACCTGGTTCAAACATGAACTCTGCATTCCCCTCTGTTCCTCTTCCACCTCAGTCTCCCACATCTCGGAAATGGCATCCCTGTCTATCAGCCTTTCTCTTCTCCAGCGGATCTTCCCAACCCAGGAATTGAACCGGGGTCTCCTGCATTGCAGGCGGATTCTTTACCAGCTTCAGCTACCAGCTGAAGCCCTTGTATCTCTTGTATTGGGGTTGGCCAAAAAGTCTGTTTGGGTTTTTCTGTACAAACTCAAACTTCTTGGCTCATCCAATATTATTAATGTCTGATATTCACTTAAATTCCTAATTTTAGCTATTGCATTATTCATTTTTAGAATTTCTATCTGGCTCTCGTTTATAGGTTCTAGTTCTTTGGTAAAAATCATCTTTTCATCTATTTTCTTAACCATACTAACTATAGTTTAACTGCAAAATCTTATTTGTGAAGCTCTAGTTCTCAGTTTTTTGTTTTTGGTGTGGTCCTGTTTCTTGGCGTGCAGGGTTAATTTTCACTAAATGTCAGCTATTTGATGTGAAAAACTGAAGAGAGTGTGGGCGGTATCCCTTCCTACAGGAAGATTTTCTCTTCTTCGGGGTTGTAGACCTTGTTTGGGTATGTTTGTTTACAGACTTCCCTTATCCGTAGACCCTTTTCCCCCGGTCGACCCTGTACTCCAGCCTTGGGCTCCCAGAACTATTGTTGAAGTTTTCCTCTGCTTAGATTTTAGCCACTTCACTGCTGTTTTCCACTTGGTTCTTGTGTTTTCCTCTTAGTTTTCGTGTAGCCTAGGAGTTGAAGGGAGATTGCAGGCAGGATTTTGGCGTCACTCCTTTGGGATCCACATAAACCTCTGCCTTCGTGGCAGCCTCCGGCTCCAGCTCTGTCTGCGGCGCCGCCATGCAGGAGTCCGCAGGTGCGCTCTCTGCTCTGTGCTGTCCTTTGCTCTTGAACAGTCGCTCAGTCGTGTCCAACTCTGTGACCCCACGGACTGCAGCACACCAGGCTTCCCTGTCCATCACCAACTCCTAGAGCTTGCGCAAACTCATGTCCATTGAGTTGGTGATGCCATCCAACCATCTCGTCCTCTGTCATCCCCTTCTCCTGCCTTCAATCTTTCCCAGTATCAGGGTCTTTTCAAATGAGTCAGCTCTTTGCATCAGGCGGCCAAAGTATTGGAGCTTCAGCATCAGTCCTTCCAATTTAATATTCAGGGTTGATTTCCTTTAGGATTGATGGGTTTGATCTCTTTGCTGTCCAAGGGACTCGAGAGCCTGCTCCAGCACCACAGTTCGAAAACATCAATTCTTTGGTGCTCAGCCTTCTTAATAATCCAACTGTCACATCTGTACACGACTACTGGAAAAACCATAGCTTTGACTATATGGACCTTTATTGGCAAAGGGATGTCTCTGCTTTAATACATTGTCTAGGTTTGTCATAGCTTTTCCTTTGCTCTGAGAACCAGCAAATTCCTCGAGGGTAAAGAAGATGAATATGAGGTTTTCATGGGTGGGCTCCCCTGCTCTCTGGGATGTTAACCCTCACATCCCGTTTGCCTCTGTTGCTTTCCATTGCCCTCAATCATTTGCTCTAAGAATTTCTCCAGCTTTTGTACTTGTTCTTGGTGGAAGAGTAGGTCTGACCCAGGCTGTTCTCTTGTGGCATATGAACCCCGGTCTTTCTTCAGCTTCTCTTTCGTACCTTGTTTCCCATATCCAGTATCTTCTCTTTCGTACCTTGTTTCCCATATCCAGTATCTTCCAGCCACACCAGACTAAATTTCTTCATTAAATATATATCAAGGTTTTTTTTCCACTTCAGGGACTTTATATCAACTGCCTCACTTGTTCTTCCCCAGATGTGTGCTCAGCTTAGTGATATTAAAGCTGAGTTCAACGGTTATCTCCTAAAAGGTTCCCTCTCTTTCCAGGGTGGTCCCCGTAACTCTGTTCTATTTTCATTGTAGCACGTGCAGTCACTATCTGAACTCATTTTATTTCCCTGCTTGCTTTCTGTCTCCCCACCTTTGTATAAGCTCTGTTCCCACCTAGTATGGGGTAAATGTTAAATGTTAATTGATAACACATAATAAATGTTAATTGAATGAGTGAATAAAATAAGCACTGATTCTGGAAAGAATTTTCTGTTTTCTCCTTCCTCTCATCTTTCAAGCACCAGGGGGTGGGGACAGCTCTGCAGCCGTGGGCTCCATGCCGGCTCCTGCCGTGTCACTCTTGGCTCTTTCCTGACCCCTCATACCTGGGAGAATCACAATCCCTTTGGCAAATAAACCTCCTTGAATTATCCTAATTTGAGTGTGTCATTTTTCAGCCTACTGACTCTGCTTTGGTCAGTAAAAATAATCGAACCCAGGTCTCCCAAATTGCAGGCACATCCTTTACCAGCTAAGCCACAAGGGAAGCCCAAGAGTACTGGAGTGGGTATCCTATCCCTTCTGCAGCGGATCTTCCCGACTCAGGAATCAAACCAGGGTCTCTTGCATTGCAGGCGGATTCTTTACCAGCTGAGCTATCAGGGAAGCCAGTAAAAATATATTAGTATATAAATTTCTACATTTGATTGTTTTTATATTCAAATTGTATTCATAGAATATCACTTTGTTCCTAAATTCATTAAATAAATGTTGAACTAAACAAAAAAAAGGAACAGTTTTTTAAAAGTATTTAAAGAACAGTTTTCTTTAATAGTATTTTGATAAGAAATATTCTATAAAATAACATTTTTGTGTTTATAATATAATGATGACTAACATTTTGTTCATCCTGATGGTATGATCTTAAATTGCTTTCTTCATAGACAAAGATTATGATGTATTCATTATCATATGAATATTATATTTTTGTTAAAATTCTTTTAAAATATACAATCTGTGCTTATGCTCTATCACTCAGAATATTTAAAACTAGTGGTACTCATTTGTTTTGGGTCTTGCATGAATGACTTTTTAAACATTTTTTCTATCTTTATTTAACAGGAATGGTTTTTAGGAAAAGCATTACATGACGAAGAATCTACAATAATTCACCATTATGCCTTTTCTGAAAATCCTACAGTTTTTAAATATCCAGACTTGGCTGCCGGCTGGGCCCTTAGTATCCCACTGGTAAACAAGTAAGAATTTATTAGACATTCTTTTCATTTCATTTTGTGTATGAATCAACTTTTATTTCGCTGAGTCTTGTAACTGGTAGACCTGAGTGAGCTTTTCAGCAGAGGCAGCGAGTGGAAGAGCAGGGGGCCAGGCGGCAGGAGCCAGACACGGAGGCGCCATCCCGTCCCCGTCCTGTCTCAGGAAGCTTCCGCTTCCTCACCTGCTGCAAAAGGAGGCAAATGATGAGCCGTGAGACTAAGGCGGGCACACGAGGGCTCAGGACTCTACACCAGGAGGGGGCCACGGCTGTCAGTGGACCTGGTGATCTCCAGGCGTGACTTTGTCAGTAAGGAAATGAATCCGCAGCATGCCTGTGGGGCTGGGTTGATGGCTGGTTATGTGCATGGATATATACACGAGTTTAAACGGGGCCTGGGCAGAAGATGCTGTAGATAATCGTACCTGGCTATTTGTGTGATAATCCCAGTGATGCTTTTGTGATGTGAAAGGAGAAGGTAAATTGTAACTCAGGGGAAATATGGCTGTTGACAGCCCTCTTAACCTAAATAATTCAGATTATTTGTGAGTTTTTGTTCTTTCAGGAATGGAGAGTTGATAATGCAGTTGTGGTTTTTATTTCTGCAAAGATTAAAGTGTTTCTATTATTTCTTACACTAAGTGCCCTGTTTCTAGAGATTGGAGCCCTGAAAAGCTTTTTAGCCCTTGTAGATGTACAAGGTAGTAGATATGTTGCCATCCGTGGTTGCCCAAAACTTCTGGACTGCTCCCTTGACATTTGAAATTTCTTTACAGTAAAATACTCTCCTTTGCAGTGTAAATGCAAGTGGCAGGAAAGTCCTCAGAGTGGATGAAAGGAATATTGTTGCTGGAATTGAAAGGGGAGATTGGTGGTTTCTTGGTGCAGGAGTTCAACAGTGTTATTCAAGAGTCTGGTTCTCTCTGTCTCTCTGGCTTAGCGCACGGCATCATTTCATCCTAAATCTGTCTCACTTTGTGGTTTTAAGGCAGTAAGAGCTATGTGTTTCTTGTCTGTGTCCAGCGGGAGAGAGCCTCTAACCGTGGAGTATGCTAATCCTTAGTCTCTAGTTGTGAGTTTGTGTCAAGTTGCTACAGTCATGTCTGACTCTGAGACTCTATGGACCAAGGCCCTCCAGGCTCCTCTGCCCATAGGATTCTCCAGGCACAAATACTGGAGTGGGTTGCCATTTCCTTCTCCAGGGGATCTTCCCCACCCAGGGACTGAACCCGAGTCTCTTAGGCCCTGCACCTGGGACATCCCTAGTTGGATCGTGTCCAGTTAAAGTTGATGGGGACAACTTAAGGCGTCTACAACCTCTGGACCATAAACAGCTGCCAGGGAACTTTAGGGCATCAGTTGGGATCAAAATTACTCTGACTCTGGAGACCTCTTTATTGACCTAAAAAATTAATCAAAATCAGAATTTTCTTAGAAGACTCTGTATTGTGTGGTTAGCCAACAGCATCCACTGCAGGAGTGTTTATTCCCCGTGTCTCCTTTCCTTGACTGATGACTCAGTAGGTAGGGCAATGATTTATAGTTACTTATGAGTTTCTTCTTTGCTTTTTGCTTCTCTTCTTCTCACAGCTATTTGTAAGGCCTTCTCAGACAACAGTTTTGCCTTTTTGCATTTCTTTTCCATGGGGATGGTCTTGATCCCTGTCTCCTGTACAATGTCACGAACCTCCGTCCATAGTTCATCAGGCTCTCTGTCTATCAGATCTAGTCCCTTAAATCTATTTCTCACTTCCACTGTATATTCATAAGGGATTTGATTTAGGTCATACCTGAATGGTCTAGTGGTTTTCCCTACTTTCTTCAGTTTAAGTTTGAATTTGGCAATAAGGAGTTCATGATCTGAGCCACAGTCAGCTCCAGGTCTTGTTTTTGCTGACAGTATAGAGATTCTCCATCTTTGGCTGCAAAGAATATAATCAATCTGATTTCGGTGTTGGCCATCTGGTGATGTCCATGTGTAGAGTCTTCTCTTATGTTGTTGGAAGAGGGTGTTTGCTATGACCAGTGCGTTCTCTTGGCAAAACTCTATTAGCCTTTGCCCTGCTTCATTCCGTACTCCAAGGCCAAATGTGCCTGTTACTCCAGGTGTTTCTTGACTTCCTACTTTTGCATTCCAGTCCCCTACAATGAAAAGGACATCTTTTTTGGGTGTTAGTTCTAAAAGGTCTTGTAGGTCTTCATAGAACCATTCAACTTCAGCTTCTTCAGCGTTACTGGTTGGGGCATAGACTTGGATTACCATGATATTGAATGGTTTGCCTTGGAAATGAAAAGAGATCATTCTGTCGTTTTTTGAAACCGCATCCAAGTACTGCATTTTGGACTCTTTTTGTTGACCATGATGGCTACTCCATTTCTTCTAAGGGATTCCTGCCCACAGTAGTAGATATAATGGTCATCTGAGTTAAATTCACCCATTCCAGTCCATTTTAGTTCGCTGATTCCTAGAATGTTGACATTCACTCTTGCCATCTCCTGTTTGACCACTTCCAATTTGCCTTGATTCATGGACCTAACATTCCAGGTTCCTATGCAATATTGCTCTTTACAGCATCGAACCTTGCTTCTATCACCAGTCCCATCCACAGCTGGGTATTGTTTTTGCTTTGACTCCATCCCTTCTTTCTTTCTAGAGTTATTTCTCCACTGATCTCCAGTATGATATTGGGCACCTACTGACCTGGGTAGTTTCTCTTTCAGTATCCTATCATTTTGCCTTCTCATACTGTTCATGGGATTCTCAAGGCAAGAATACTGAAGTGGTTTGCCATTCCCTTCTCCAGTGGACCACATTTTGTCAGACCTCTCCACCATGACCCGACCGTCTTGGGTGGCCCCACATGGCATGACTTAGTTTCATTGAGTTAGACAAGACTGTGGTCCTGTGTTCAGATTGGCTAGTTTTCTGTGATTATGGTTTTAATGTGTCTGCCCTCTGATGCCCTCTCGCAACACCTACCATCTTACTTGGGTTTCTCTTACCTTGGACGTGGGGTATCTCTTCATGGCTGCTCCAGCTGCGACGGACCACGCAGAAGCGCGCTGGCTGCGACGGTTACAAATAGCTGTGAAGAGAAGCAAAAAGCAAAGGAGAAAAGGAAAGATATTCCCATTTGAATGCAGAGTTCCAAAGAATAGCCAGGAGAGAAAGAAAGCCTTCCTTAGCGATCAATGCAAAGAAATAAAGGAAAACAACAGAATGGGAAAGACTAGAGATCTCTTCAAGAAAAGTAGAGATACCAAGGGAACATTTCATGCAAAGATGGGCTCAATAAAGGACAGAAATGGTATGGACCTAACAGAAGCAGAAGATATTAAGAAGAGGTGGCAAGAATACACAGAAGAACTGTACAAAAAAGATCTTCATGACCCAGATAATCACAATGGTCTGATCACTCACCTAGAGCCAGACATCCTGGAATGTGAAGTCAAGTGGGCCTTAGGAAGCATCACTATGAACAAAACTAGTGGAGGTGACGGAATTCCAGTTGAACTATTTCAAATCCTGAAAGATGATGCTGTCAAAGTGCTGCACTTAATATGCCAGCAAATTTGGAAAACTCAGGAGTGGCCGCAGGACCGGAAAAGGTCAGTTTTCATTCCAATCCCTAAGAAAGGCAATGCCAAAGAATGCTCAAACTACTGCACAATTGCACTCATCTCATACGCTAGTAAAGTAATGCTCAAACTTCTCCAAGCCAGGCTTCAGCAATATGTGAACCGTGAGCTTCCAGATGCTCAAGCAGGTTTTAGAAAAGGCAGAGGAACCAGAGATCAAATTGCCAATATCCACTGGATCATCGAAAAAGCAAGAGCATTCCAGAAAAACATCTATTTCTGCTTTATTGACTATGCCAAAGCCTTTGACTGTGTGGATCACAATAAACTGTGGAAAATTCTGAAGGAGATGGGAATACCAGACCACCTGACCTGCCTCTTGAGAAACCTGTATGGAGGTCAGGAAGCAACAGTTAGAACGACATGGAACAAAAGACTGGTTCCAAATAGGAAAAGGAGTATGTCAAGGCTGTATATTGTCACCCTGCTTCTTTAACTTATATGCAGAGTACATCATGAGAAACGCTGGGCTGGAAGAAGCAAAAGCTAGAATTAAGATTGCCGGGAGAAATATCAATAACCTCAGATATGCAAATGATACCACCTTTATGGCAGAAAGTGAAGAGGAACTAAAAAGCCTCTTGATGAAAGTGAAAGAGGAGAGTGAAAAAGTTGACTTAAAGCTTAACATTCAGAAAACTAAGATCATGGCATCTGGTCCCATCACTTCATGGGAAATAGATGGGGAAACAGTGTCAGACTATTTTTTTGGGCTCCAAAATCACTGCAGATGGTGATGCAGCCATGAAATTAAAAGACGCTTACTCCTTGGAAGGAAATTTATGACCAACGTAGATAGCACATTAAAAAGCAGAGACATTACTTTGCCAACAAAGGTTCATCTGGTCAAGGCTATGGTTTTTCCAGTGGTCATGTATGGATGTGAGAGTTGGACTGTGAAGAAAGCTGAGCACCGAGGAATTGATGCTTTTGAACTGTGGTGTTGGAGAAGACTCTTGAGAGTCCCTTGGACTGCAAGGAGATCCAACCAGTCCATCCTGAAGGAGATCAGTCCATCCTGAAGGAGATCAGTCCTGGGTGTTCAGTGGAAGGACTGACACTGAAGCTGAAACTCCAATACTTTGGCCACCTCATGCGAAGAGTTGACTCATTGGAAAAGACCCTGATGCTGGGAGGGATGGGGGCAGGAGGAGAAGGGGACGACAGAGGATGAGATGGCTGGATGGCATCACCGACTTGATGGGTATGAGTCTGAGTAAACTCCGGGAGTTTGTGATGGATAGGGAAGCCTGGCATGCTGTGATTCAGGGGGTTGCAAAGAGTCGGACATGACTGAGCGACTGAACTGAACTGAACGAATTTCTTCTGCTCAGTTCAGTTCAG